TCAGGACCCAAAATTGTCTAGTTAATTCAGTTAGAGAATTATATTGTGTGTAAGAAGTTAGATACAGAAAGAGCAAAAAAGGATTGTTTTAAAATTCTCTATAATTATTTACACACAACAATTCAAAATTTCAACATACAAAAAGTCTTAACAGAAATATAACATCTAAATAGAAACATTAAATTCGAACTGATACAGACATTTATGAAGAGTAAATGAAATTAATATTCAAATAATCAAGAACTTTTTGTCAGATAAGTTATATTTTGAGCATAAACAGGCAGGTAATGTTTTTTTCCATTCTATCAACATCTCAAACAGCCAAAAAAGCCCTAAATTTATACTGATATGCAACTATGAAGATTGAATAAAACTAACATGCAGAATATCAAGGAATGTTGGTCATATAATTTGAGAAAAACAACAATTTAAAGTTTTTTCCATTCTATCAATACAAATGTCTAGATAGAAAATTTGTGTGATAGATAAATACCTTAGCTCCTTCAACTTTTTTTTTTCTTGATTCAAAGATAAAATTTTTTTGTTTTCTTTTATGTTGAATATCTCTGACACTCTTATTTTTGAGAACGTAGAATTTTTTTTCGAAGGGTATTTCCTAAAAGAATAGGAAAGTACTTAATAAATCTTAAAACACAATAAATTCTCTTAGCTAATTGAGACTGTAAAAATTGACATGAAATTCCCAATGCAAAGATTGACCATAAACCATCTGCAATTTATTGTTAAGGAAAATTGTATATAAGTTTTTAATTTATAATTTAAGTTACAAAAATTCTTAAAGGAAATACTGAGTTTAATTGAAATTGTTGAGTTCATGAAGTAAGCAAAATAATAACCTTTTTCCATTTATGTAAGACACGGTTATTCTCTCTTGGATGATTTCTTGCATTTCTTCAGTCTCAGACATTTTGCTACAATAAGTCATATTTTTCAACTATTTATACAACTTTGCACACAAAGAACTCAAAAGTTATAAAACATTTTTTGCAATTGCGAATTCGCCCGAAACAAATTTCTTAGAAAGTAACACTAAAATGGTGGCCAAAGCCATTTAAAAGTATGAGAAAATGCAAAATTCCGTCAAAAAAAGACAATAGAAATATTTTAGATTTAGTTACAATATACCTTTCCAAAGTAGGAATAAAATGAATGCTCTATAATAGCTCAGGGAACAAATTTACTAGAAAAAATAAACATACCATGAAATTGCGTGCAAAAAAATTTTCAGGACTCAAATGTTATTACATAGAAATGGCGTGAGCAAAGATTTAAAACGGGCGAAAAATAATTATAATTTTGAACGCGATGTATCTTAATGGAATCAACAAAATACTTCCAATGCAACAAAAAAACAAAAGTACATCAATCAATCCATAACTGTCCAGTTTGTTAAAAGTCCTCATTAAAGTCCAATTATTATGAAAATATTATTGAATCCATTCAACAGCCAAGTCGCACACGAACAGCACATGTATTCTTCTATCCTTTCATGTAGGTACATTTTCTTGATAAATAACGGAGAAAGTCCTATCCTTGAAAACATTTCAGCAATATATTTAATATGACTAAATTAATCCGCCTGTGGACATCAGCGTCTGGATTGATCCTGAAATGAAAAGTCAGCGAATCATAATTATATCATTAATCTATCAAACGCATCAAAACGTGTAATGAGTAAAAAAATATATATGACACCAAGTAATCGAAAATACATCAAGTATATAGGCTTCTGTACACGCAAACAGTGAGGGTATCCATAATGAAAATAATAGAACCTAAATAGAGACCTAAAAGATACTATAAACTAAAATAAATAAGAAACTTACCGAACATCAGTAACTCGATGCCAAAGCAATCCAACCACGCCACAAGGCTTGAACAACCCCTGATAGTTCTACCCATCCATCTGCGAATGATATAAAATCCCATCAACAAACAGATCAACGGCTCAGATTCAATTGATAAACAATTCAATTAAGTATTTCCAGTATTACATGATAACCCATTCATGTAAATTTCTAAAGATCGGACAAGCATCTTCCTGATCGCGGCATGCCTCAAAACGAGATGTACCACGATGAACCACAGCATTGAAATTGTTATGCAAATTAGTTCTATAAACTGACTTGCCATAAACGTTCGACTATTTGCATACAATCGATATGAACAAAAGAAATTTCCATTCCTTTTTTTAAAAATGAAGTTTTAAAAAAATGAACAAATAACGCCTCGATTTGATTGTTCCTTTCTCTACCAATAAGATAAATGAGAAACAGTGACAGGCCGACGATTGGGCAGACAGCAACATGATAATTTGTGAAGGTTTGAACATTTCAAAATGTTAAAAAATTAAACCTTTATCGCTACACCAGAACCAATGCCACCATTCGAATCGCATCCATGAGATCTTTCATTTGATTCAATAAATTTTGATGTAAAACATTTAATTTTTTAATTTCATTTAAGAAAATTAAAACTATGACGTCACAATGACATCACAGCCACACCTAATCTAGAAAATATTCATACCAGCAGTTTACCTTTGTAAAATTTTTGAAAATGAGCCCTTGGCCCTAATTTACTCTGTATAGTTGCCGAGTTATGGGAATAAAGCTTGAAAAGTCATATCACAAAACAGGGATCAGGCCTAGTCAGAACAATTACACCAATACAGAAATGTGCCAAAACTTCAACCGGTCATAGTGACATCATTACTAGGTGTAACCCCCAAAACCAATACCACCAATCGATTTGTCTCGATAAGATCTTTTGTTTGATGCAATAATATCCGAGGTACCTTATGTATCACAGAAGTTATGGGTCTAAATGTTGCAGGATACAAGCAGGATAAGCCCAACCCAAAGCAATTAAATACACTTATCTAAGCCAACGGACCATCACTTTCACAGAAAAGCTCAAACTACAGAACTCCTTCCCTGTTATACCCAATAGCATCAATGCAGCTCATAAGAACTTAGAAACAAAACAATCAACACTTAAATGAGTATGTTACAAATCAGCCAAAATAAGAACCCACTAGTGAAATCAAATTCTAGAACATCCCTCGTGAAGTTAACTACTATAACATTTTCTACTTAATTTTTCTGTCTTTCCTCAGTTTCAATCAAATTTTAGTATGCTCACAGTCAACACTGAAAAGTACAGGGAGCAAGTGATATTTTTTTAGGTTGTGGTCTCTTTTGCTTCTTTCAATTTTCCAGGGTGTATTGTTCTTGCAAAAACAAAGTATGCTTTTTGTTCTCTTTTTCTGCCTTTCTTCTTTACAACATTTTTAAAAAAAGTTAATCCTGATCTGAAATAGAAATCAGAGAGAACTGAAAACAGAAATACTGAAAATGAATGTTGAAGAGAGAAACATCCGAAAAATTGATCTCTAGTAACTTATTCTAATTACAAGACTCATTATACCATGTTACGTGAGCCTTGTGACACTAGTAAGGGCACATTTCCTGTTCAGTTCATTAATTTTCAATTTCACTATATGCAATACACTCCAATATTAAACAACATACACAAATATACAACATAATAGTAATCAAAAACTCTAAAAGACAGATGAAGAGAGCAAGGTATGGCACTAGAGTTTTTTTGGAAGCATGAGCACTATTTGATAAGAGCAGCACCCTTCCCGTCTCATAAAAATAATAACAAATACCATATTTTGTATAGCTTTTCTATGCTTGTTGAGCATAATAAACTTATCCTGTAGTAATTCGTGTTCGAAACCAAATACAATTAGATAAAAAATGATCACATAAGCATCCATCTCACGATCGAATAATCATCCATTTCCATCCCCCTGTGCAAGACAAACTCAAACTTCATCAACGGCCTCGTCGAATTTAACCTGCTAATTCGAATTCGAAAAGTACCTGCGTGCTGTCTGGATGATGGGATAATTGATCCTGATGTAGACAATTGATCAATGGGATAATTGATCCTGATGTAGATTAGCAAAGACCCTCAATTGGTTCGATTGAAATTAATGTCCTCTCCATTTACCAAGGAAATCAATGAAGGTTTGAAAATCAATTCAACATAATCAATTAATCTCTTTGCGCTACAGAAGAACCAATACTACCATTCGAATCGCTTCTATGTGATCTTTCAGTTGATGTAATTCATTTTGATGTGCCATATGTATTCAATCAAATACTAATTCAAAAGTCCTTAAAATTGAAGAATATGACGTTACTATGACATCAAAGCCATGCCCAATGTAGAAAGTTACAACCCAAGAATATGCCCCTTGCTGATCCCTTCAAGATGAGTCTTTGGCCCCTATCATACTTCATACAGTTTCATATAGGAATAAAGCCTAGAAATACTTAATGGAGGGCTGGGTCTCATAAACATAGCAGTAACATGGTCCTTAACCTGTTGTACACAGTTCAAGAGCTACGGCAGTAAAATTTTGACAATAAAACAGAAAGTGATTGAGGGGGGGGGGGTCTAGAAAAACAACGGCAACAATAATGTAAAACACCTTGAAAACATAATTTCATTAAGTAAAGCCACAAGGAATATATTTGATTTGGTACAATTGGTTTCGTTGTGCTATTTACACTTTATGAAAAATTTATTGAATGTCCTAATTTTTTTTACTTTCATGTAACAATGAATTCACAGCCACGCCTAATCTAAAAACTAACCACAATATAACCTCTTAGATTCCCTTTTTTCAAGCCTAACAAAAAGCCACAAATTATCTAATCAACTATCAACAGCCATGTCAGGTCTTTATGCATACGTAGATTAACAGAGAGAGAGAAGACATTCAGATTGATTTTTTCCTTTTTTTAATTTAACAACAATCTAAAACCAAACAACACTCTAATATCAACACTCTAATATCAACAACAACAACTACAACTATTTATAATAAATATTAAAACTTTGGTGCTGGCCACTATAATTATGGTAGTGGCCAGACCTGTGTGTGTCCCTACCGGACTCCCCCTTCTTTGCCTTTTTTTTGCCTTCTTTGCCTTTTTTTGCCTTCTTTGCCTTTTTTTTGCCTTCTTTGCCTTTTCTTTGCCTTCTTTGCCTTTTCTGATTAATTTTACGTATATCGTCATCCCTGGTCTGAAAAAGAAATTAAATAGAAATAAGGACAGAATTACTGAAAATAAATATTGGAAAGAGACACATCTGAAAAACTTTGCTTTTTTGATTTTCTTGTTCAATCAAAGACTCAACATCAGATTAGCTATGTCATTATAAGTGAGATTCGTCACACTAACAAGTGAAATAATAAACATCGAAAAAACTACATATTGAGTTAAAGACTTAGTATTAGTAATTGATAACCCAATACTACAGATAGAGAAAGCAAGAAACGCCACTAGAGGAGTTTGGAAAGCATGTGCACTATTTGACATTCTTAAAGTTGAAAATGTAATAACAATTACCTTATTTTGTATAATTTTTTTTATGTCGTCGAGCATAATGAAGTTTTTACTCCTTTTCAAATTAAAAGCACGGCGACCCTGTTCTTTAGGGCCCCCAGTTTTTGTTCGTAGGGCAGCAACTACAAAACAGACAATAAAGATATTAAATTTTATAATTCTAATCCGTCTTAAACCCATCATCAATTTAGAATAATAATTGTTTATGCATTATTGATTGATTGCACCACATCGTAAAGTTTCAAAGATGAGGTAGAAATAAGTTAAATTATAACTTTATTTTTACAATTAAAATGTGTGGCTTTATCAAAATCAGCATTTTTTCTTATTTGTGTAAAATAATATAAAGCAATGGAATCATACCTTTATTTATTGCCAAGAAGCCCAATGATCTTCTCTTTAATTTCCTAGAAAGTATACCAATATCTACACCACAAAATTATCACAAATGTTGATTAAAGTGTTTTCCTATCATTGACATGTACACTTCACAATGAGCCAAAAGTGTACTTTAAGCTGCCTGTCATCAAGTTGATTGGCTTTAAGTAATAGATCTTGCGAATGTAACAAAAAAGAAATGTGACAATAAAGTTCTTAACAGTATTGTGCTTTTAGGTAACTATTTTGACTAGGGACCGGTCCATTTGAAACCAGATTGCTCATACCATATTATTTCTATCTTGTTGTAAGATGTAACCAGTTGTCTTTCAACAAGTTCTCTTAATGTAACTACTCTTTGAAAAAGGATCAGGAAAAATTTGATAAGTGAATTATGGTGTTGTTTTATAGTCTGCTTTGCAACAGAAACTTTCTCCAATTTGGGCAGTCTTTTTCTCAATTATTCAGACTGATGCATCCCTGAATTGAAAATTTAAAAAGGCTTGAACTTTGAAAGCATTTGGATAAGAAAAAAATTTATAAAAACAGGAAAGTTTCAAAAACAGTTTACTACACTGAAGCAAATACATGTTTATAAACTTCAAAAAATCAGTCAAACCTCAGTGCTCTTTACGATTTATGTAATTCTCTACTTCATCAAGGTCTACTGTGTAATGCTCTAATAACATTCATCTGAGGTCATTTTCCGATTCTGATGAGCTTTTGTCTACTTCCATTTGTTGTTGCATCCTTTTCATGGCTGCCTTGTCTGCTTCATGCTGACGTGCTCGAAGTATATAATTTTTACTTTCTGCTTTATAGCCTTTAAACTTTCTATGAGTTGGCTGCCATATTATTTTTCCATTCTAAGTCGAATAATTGAATGAACAAATTCATGTGTTAAAGAATTTTTGCGTCTTTTTT